TAAAGTAAGTAAAGGAAACGTACGTTACGTTACGTTACGGTTGGTACGTAAGTACGTACGTACTTACTAATAAGTAACGTACCGTACGTAAAGAAAACTAAGAGTATATATATATATATATATATATATATATATATATATACAATGCATTTGAAATAATACATTAATGATTTTAACCCTCGAAGCTAAAGAATATATTCATGCTATGCTCTCCATCAAAAAATATTTCTTATGGTTTTACTTATTTTCTTTGTTTCCAATTTTCAATTAAGAAAAGTGGTATGTTGTAACAATTTCATATTCCTTTACCACTCTTCAATCACTCTAACTAAATTTTTATCATGACCAGATGATAAAATTTGTAGTTATATTTTCTGATATGTAAACTTAAACTTCTTACAGTTGTTGGTCTTTGATGGTGATCAAAAAGAGTCAACTCATAATCTAGAGGTCGCAAGGCTTCAATGGCGTTTCTAAGTAACAGGCTTGTTTCTCCAATCAATCTGAAACAAATATTAACATTAATAACGTAATAAATATTGAAAAAACATGTTTTAAATAATATGTTTTGCCTATTCATTTCAACACGAAGAACAGTAATTCCACACTAATGTAAACTGGCAGTAGTGTTGGGCATATCGATATATTTTCAAATATCTAAATATATTGATATTTTCCAAAATCTTGGAAAAAGCTCTCAATGAGAAAATTAAGTCAAAAAAATATATTTAAAACTGACAAATATATAATCTTTTACAACGTTCAACCGTTTCTTATCCAATTTTTGTTCATAATTGTCTATATGTACCCAATGCTGTACAAAGTCGCACTAAAGTACCTGTGCATTCCAGCAACGTCATTACCTTCCAAGGCGAATATTTTCAAAGGCTGGGGAAGCCATAAGCAACCGAAGGAATAGACTAAAATCCCAACATGTTGACATGTTTATTATTCTGAACAAAAATCGCTACGTAGATGTCTGCATAAATATGTTTATTCGATTTTTCAGTTTCAAGTTCAAAATATTTAAAGTTTTATATCTTTGCTCTGTATATAATGTTTAATGAAACATATTATCTATGCTAGCTTATTTTTCATTTTAGTTCACATTCTCTATATGCGCTTTACTTCAAAACCCCCTATCCAATCACAAAAGCAAGAAAGAGTGGTATCCTGGCCGCAACCCCCACCCCCACCTTTAATTACTTACATGTTTGTCCTCTTATGTATTATGATTATCAACTAATACGTATAATATCTTTGTAGTTTCTTACTTTGAAATAAAACTCTTTAATTTTTACAAAAGAAAAAAAAAAACAGCAACAAAAATTAATATATAACTTAACTGTACGTACTTCATACATACTTTACCCGGCACTTTGTCGACGAAACTTTAAATGGATGTAACCATGATATTTTTCTTCGTTCGGCGCTCGACGATGTTTTCCCTCCTGAATTTTCGATATATATCGATATATTTTCTAAAAACTATCGATGTATAAAAACTCGATATCGCCCATCAATAGTTGGCAGGTCTAAAACTTCCACCATCTATTGATAGGAATCCTTAATAAATATTTTTATTTTGACCTAAGGTAGAAAATCTTCTTAAAGGAGAAATTTCTAACAATTAGAGTACTGTGTTGACCTCAATAATTATAAAATTAGGTTTCAATTTAATATAACATTTTTTGCCCTGAAAAAATTGCATCCAAGCTTTCATCAATTTACCTATTTCTCCCAAACCGTTCGTAATCTTTCACCGTGATAGTCAAATACTCATCAGACTGTTGTGCCCTCTTCTTAATTTTCCACTCAAACTTCTGTTTAGTAAAAATGAAAAATTTTGTATTAAAATTCATATCAAAATAAACCTAAAACTGATGTTACACTTTATTTAACAAATTTGAATTATGTCATATTTTAATTCTTGCACATATTTTTTCATCAGTCGTTATTTACTGAAAACAAATTGTAATCCATTCAAATATCTTAGTAGTTGCCGTGCCTGGACTGTGGATCTTAGGGTTCATGACTCGCGTCCTGTTCTCCGAAAATATGGCCCGTACTTTGGGACCGTGTGTGCGCTATAAGAGTAATGGTCAAATGACACTTTTCTATAAAGCAAGAGTAGCTCCCCGAATTGGCGGTGGGTACTGTTAACTAGCTGTCTTACCCCAAGTTTATCAATTCAAACCCAGGGACAATTATGCGTATCTTTGTGTATATTTGCGAGAATGTTATAAAACAAATGCTATTGCTAAGCAAGCGGAATAATTTTTAACTGAAAAATAAAAGTATTTCAAATACTTATGGCTGATTTAAGAATACATATTCACCTATAAAAATTACTTCTATACACTCTCATTGTTATGATTAGTATTATATGTGATCACCTTTGTTCAAATACTGATTACCTAACTATTACTAACTTACATTAGCATTGTAAGTATGCACGTTAGTAACTTAGCAATTAGTTACATAATCAGCAACTTAAAAACAATCTAATCTTGTACATTATTAGCCAGGACAAAGAGTTGATTTTGATCATCAAAGTTGTATTACAAGTACTATATACTAAGTTTGTAAAGTTTAAAAGTAGAATAATTAAACCTTTGTATCCAAACAAAAGAAAGGAAAAGATTATTTAAAAAGCACCAAAAAACAAATTGTATTTATGTGAATAACTGTTCTAAACATTTGAACTTCGTTTCTGACTTCATCCTATCTGGATCTAATATATGTGAGGATGTTTCAATGATTTTCTTTGGCATCAGCATACTTTTTTTATTTGGTTTAACAATGAACAAATAATAAGTATAATGAAATGTTGTAAGAACGACCAAAAGCAACTTAAAAAGATAATGACATATTAGAAAACTAATAAATTTGGTACGGAGGTAACTAACAGCCAGGAAATAATAGGTTATGTTATGGTGAAAGTAAGTTAAAAGATTTACTTTACTATCTGTATAATAATATACCATGCGAATTTTGAAAGTTCTCTATTTCAGTGGATTAATGAAATTAAATTGCCACATATTTCCAATAACACTTTTTTAAAACACGTGGCCTATAAACATTAAATTTCGGTTATAATTGGATGATTTGATGCAAATCTTAGTTACTACGTACTATATTACCAGACTTTGTAAATCGCATATTTACACGTATATCCATAACACAGAGAAGCTTCAGGCAAAAAATATGTTAGGGCATTATCATATTTTAGATATTATATCTTTCATTAAATAACACTTTCCACCTCCCATTGTTTTGTTTTGTTTCTTTTTCAAATAAAATATTTCTTGTGTATCATACGTTTTATTCTTACCTCATCCCATGCTGGATTTAGATTACCGTAGACAACGTTTGTTTTTCTTTTTTCACCTTTCGTAAAAGAAATTACATTTATTATAAGAAAATTCTTTATATTAAACGATTCTTAAATTAATGTTATGCTACTGGATAAATTAGATATTGTTATCAATCAGTTCCAAATAGATTAATTATATTATGGTTTTTGACATTAAGCTGTTAAGATGGTTCCAGAATTACCATTAGCACAGTCCTCAAAATATTTTATATAATTGAAACTTAACAAATCATTACATCTTCAAAACGATTATAAATACAAAAATATATTTATAGATACAATGTTATTATTTTTAACAGCATTCTTTTAAAGGTGTTTTTGAGTTAATACAATAGATCGATACCAAAATATTCAGATTATGATTTAAGTAATGGAATAAATAAGGCAGAGAGTTGTACAATATGATATGAATTTTATTAACTTAATTGCATTTTTCCCACTTATGATTAAATGCTTTTCAAATTAATTTTTAGTGAGCTTTATAGCGTACTTACTTCCGATTGTTAAACAAATGTATATATTTCTCTCTTAAGTATACGGAAAAAGTGAGATAAAAATATCGCCTAGTATGATACAATAACCCAATAATCTTTATAAATATTTCTGAGTGATTATGCTGTGGCTCAGTGGTAAGTCTGCGGACTAATAATACTAAAAGCTGGGTTTCGATACCCTTAGTAGGCACAGCACAGATAATCCATCGTGTAGTTTTGTGCATAACTACAAACAAACAAATTAATTAAGTTATTACCCACCTTGAAATAATAACACAACATAAGGGTCACTCTTTCCTATGGCCGTTTCCAGATTGGTTAAGTTCTCTGCACGAGACACCAGAACTTGAAGATGGGGTGACATTTTATAGAGGACAGTTTAGGTTATGCATTTAGCTGGCGAAAAATAATATTAATTAGATGTAAGAAATTTGTTTATGTCATAAACTAAATATTCTGTTAATTTTGAAGCCTGTTATTTATTAAGTATTCGTAAGTTGATGCTCATCTAACATTTTCTATCAAAACATTAAAATTTGGAGTTCACCCCACAAGGAAAAATGCATATATTGCTTCATTTACCTACGACAAATGAGTAAAACAATTGTCTTTACGATGTAAGTTTCAGAGACTGTTTTAGTATCATATACAGCTACCTATGAATTACTTGAAAATACTTTTCAAAAACATATTTTCATTAAGAATTTTAGACCCGCTATTAGAATATGGCTCATGTAAAGTAAACATATAGATACATGAATAGCCAGTCTTGACCCTGTTTTATTTTCCAAAAATATTTTAATAATAATTGTACATAAATAACATCTTAAACACGGAAAGATTAAATTTATACACTCACCGTTTACTGATTGTCACAAAGATGAAAACAAAACCTTGCTGTGCATAGTTGCTTTCCATACCCTTAGGCACTCTGCCAATATCTTACAGTTGGCGAATATGTGTAACTCAAACATTCAAGTGTGTTTTATCATAATTAGTAAGTCTTGCTCTCATGTCCTCAGAAAAATACCTGAAGTACACGTAAGGACCTTAAACCTGTCTAGATAGTAAAGATTTCTTTGATAATCAATGTTAGATGTCTATCAACCAACTTGCTTACTGTCTCTTCTGAAGGCACTATTACATTGGAATAGGCAAACTACAAGACAGTTTTAAGAGGCCTCACACATAACCCCGTGCATCGTGTTCTAAATCTGGATCACCATAAAGACGCAGAAAAGTAAATGTAATCCAAGCTAGGCCTAAAGTGTAGCTTCTATGTTTAGAACCTCCCCGAATTCGCCAAACCATTTTTATGAAATACAACTCCTCTGTATTTTTCAAATCACGTTTTTTGTCGACTTCTTTGTAATTATCTGTGTGCCCAACAGCAGGATATATATATATACAACAGATTTGTAACTCCAAATGTTTGTGGCAAAAGACGTTCTATTTTTATGATTACTATTATTTATACTGAGGGATATTTTTGCATCGATATTCTACTTCTATGATTGTGGTAAAACTCCCATTTTATCTATTTAATTCTTCGAAAACAAAATTGTTTTGAGATAGCGTGCGGCTTTGCTTTAAACGTTTTTTTTTTCTTATATATTGTTACGACAGCGGAAGTCACGTGACGCTGGTAACACGTAATGAGTTCTAGAAAGATCGGGGAACATCACGAATAAACCAGTATTTGTTAGGCGCTCTCTATTCTTGTATATAAGTGCGCCAGACAGTTAATCGGAATAGAATTGCAGACAGACAGAGACGGACAATTGAGTCAAGCGCGGTAGTAAGTAAGTGCGTAAATCGTTCGTTGAGAATTATAGCGTGTGTCTAAGTGTGGAAATTAAGTGTATTGCAAAGTTGTATTGAGAAAGAATAAACTATTTCCATTTAAGAAAGGACTTGTATAGCTGAAGTTAGTTCTTCGGAAAGAATTTCTACGGAAAATTAACAAACGAACACAGAGACGTAACAATATTTAGTTTGTCTGAGTGCTGTCAACAGTCTTGAATAGGTCTAAGAATTTCTTATTTAAAAATATACAATTCATCTTTTTAGTACTAATATTTCCAAAATCTTAAACGTATCTGTAACTAAGCGTCACAGTCAGTGACAAAATGGTACTATATGAAAAAATATATACTGAAGGTTAATTGTTCTTCATAAGAATTTTGTTTCATATCTCGCACTACCATTGCAACTACTTTCTCCATCGTTGGTCGTACTCAGTCTGACAGCCATGATTACACACTACTGCCTGATACCACAGTGTCCATTATAAAAAGCTTCTTCGATGGACAGCAATGTAAATTTTAAACTACAAAACTCAACACACTTTTCACATTGTGGGCATTGGCTCCCAAGACCACGTTGAAGCAGGAAAAGTTAATAGACATGAAGTTGAATTGTATAACTATGATTACAGTTTCTTGAGCTAATCTTTCTAATGAAAACAACCAATGATTTTGAGGTATGTCTAGAAACTTGTTCCTTTTCAGCTCATGAGCATTCATAATTTTTCAAACCCTTTATTGTTATCTTGTTTACAGTACCAGGAGATATGCCTATTTAGTTTTGGGAGTAGGAGTTGGAGAGTTATCATTCGTAACCACACCTTTTACTTTGCGGTAAGGGTGTTACTCTGATTTGGTTTCGGAGCTCGTTGTTTTCCAAAAAGCTTTTCCATGTTTTATCCTTTGGCTTTACATCCTTTAAAAATCTCATTATTCTAATATTCTACCTCGGAAAGACTATAAATTTGTTTGTTGAATTACACTGTTGGTTTATTCGCCGTGAACCAAACACAGCGTTAAACATGTCACATTTGGCGCTATGGCTCACAACTGCCTTTTTACTTCACTGTGTTAGCATAAATAAACCGTTTGTATAAAGTGCAATTAATCCTTCGCATTTGCTCTCTTCTTTCGTTTCCATAACCGCAAGTATTATACTGTTCCTGTTAATGTAGAAAAATGATCATGATCAAAGTGCACTATTAATATTACTTCATTTTTATGGTTTCGCTCAGTAGAAAATTTCAGTCTGTTATGTCAATTGAACAAAACCTATATTTTTTCCTTCTTTATTTTCGTGGATTAACCTTACTGATTAATCCTGCTATTTGATTAAAAGTAACCGCATAGGCGATTAGTGCTGATTCTGACTGGACCCTCCCATCTTTTGGTCAACTGTTTTAAATGAGGAATGGTTATGCCTTAACCTTGGAGTTTCTTACCAAGCTGTTTAGCTCATCTGTTCTTAAAGTGTCGTTTAGGTTGCTTAATATATCAAAACAATGATGATTCAGCTGTGTGTAAAAATGTTTTAAAGAAAACTCTTCTTTAACTAATTATACTCCAAGATATATTACCTAGGACTGTTTTTGTCTATTTATCTCTAATTGACCTCATAATTTAATATACTTAAAATGGTTTAGTCTCATATTTGTTGCCATATTTGTCGAACATTGCTTTTTGTTAACTCCTTATATATTAATATTATAGTAGAAAACGTACCAAATCAATTTAAAAAATAAAGGAATGCATGTTTATCCTTCTCAAATACTTTTAGAAACACTTAATCAAACTGTCAAAATTGTATGGGGCCAATTTTTACTCTTTTAGACATATATAACCATACATTAAGAATTATACAAGCCTTAAAACTTTTTTTTGTTAACCCATGAAATTACATTCAAATTTCGTTTTGAAATTCTACGATACATACTTTATTTCAACTATAAATTATCATATTTCGTTTTCTGACACTGTATTTAGATTAAATTATGGTTGCATATTCCATCGATAGAGAGCAGGCTGTGCGTACAATATTGTGTATTTCCCCTACATGTCCAAAATATTTTTTTCTTTTTCTTAATAATTTAGTTTTCCACAAAAGATTTTTATATAAGAAGTTATAGAAAACATTATATTTTTATAGTATTTTCTAGTCAGAAAAATTTCAAATAGAAACTCTTTATTAATAATTAAAAATCTTTATTTGGGATTTTGAGCATGATTAGGAAACAGTACAACATGAATTGAATTTTACATTTACACAACCTCAATACAATTACATAACATTTTACTCGAAGCATCCTTTATTTGTATATGGTACATTGCCTCTGAATAAACCTTATCTTATTATAAAAACCACAGAGTTCATTTCATCTCTACTTCGTAATTTTAATTACATACGAATAGCAAATTAATTGTTCCCGTTGTAGTCACACATTTGTTAATATCTTTATTTAACAGTAAGTTGTTTGCACTTTACACGCTGCAACGCTATACATTACATTGGTATCTGAGAGAGGCCATACATTACATTGGTAACTAGTTATGTTACAAAACACATTCCAATAGATCAACAATAACTTTGAGCTTCACTTCGAAATCTATAGACGTTTGGAAGAAAACACCAATACGTTATTATGCTTAAGATGAAACGTTTTAGTGACTCCATCTGTTGCTAGGTAAATATCAGAAATATGTGTTTTTTTATTTTACCCCAAGCCTTAACTTGATTCGATAGTTTACTTTCTTCTAATATGACACTAATTTTAAACTTTTGATTTAAGTAACTGTTATTTGCTTATGTTTTTTACATTTCTACAATCTAAAATGTTTGTTCATCGTTTTTAGATACCACAGCACCATTTGATTTAGCACGATTTGAAGACAACTTGTTTTGAGAAAAGAAATAAGATCAAAGTTTCTTCAAAAACGTTTATTAAAGATTGAAGATATTCAATGTCTCTCTGCAAAAGACTTTTTAAAATACAAAGAGATACCGAGTGACTTGAGTTACAAATAACATTAATGCTGAGGTGAACCTGCTGTCAAATGGTTCAGATTTCTACACTCAACTTTTACAACTCTGCACAAATAGATGATATCTCTGATTTATTACCTCGGATTTCATATAATTTTGTACAAATAGACGATATCTCTGATTTATTACCTCGGAGTCATATAATTTTGTACAAATAGACGATATCTCTGATTTATTACATTGGACTTTTCATAACTTTGCACAAGTAGGCTATATTTCTAATTTGTGACTTTGGAAACTAACAAATTGATCTAAGGGTATTTTTCTCTAGGCTTTTTTCTAACCAGCCTATTCCAATTTTTTGAAGGATATGTCCAAGTCATCAGTATAATAGTTGCTTAGTTGATATAGTATAAAATGAAAATAATTTATTTCACATTTATATGGTAATATATTCATAAAGACCATCTATTCTTACTGAAATTTTCTAAATAAAATAATCCTTTCTAAGCTAATTACTTATTAGCATGTATTAGCGTCGGATCCCGGGAGATGGAGGATGCCACTTTTATATATTAGACATATATAGCAACTGTAAATGATATTATTATATTAATTTTCTGGAGGGCATGCCCCCAAACCCCTTAGGTTGAGCTCCTTATACTTTCAATCTCTCATTGTAAAATCTGCATGTCTGGTCAAGAACCTCCACTTTGCAACTCCTTCCTACATCACTGTTGTATCACATTTAGTTTTTTATCCATTTCTTAGTTGTGATAATAGATTAAAATAATTACTAAATAGTTTGCCTTGCAGTCACTGTTTTCGATAAAAACACTTAGACTTAAGCTTAACGCAGAATGCGCCACGCAATAATTGTACTTATCATAGGGTCTAATAAACTTCCAATGTACAATATAATGAAAGAAAAAGCATGGGAAACATGGTTCTAATTAAGTAATTCTGATTCTTACTTATGTACAACACTTCCAATGTATTCGTACTGTTACTGACAAAGTAGTGTTGTATTATATATATACTATGGCTTCTCATCTCAAGGACTTTTGTAATGAAATATTCGCCTTAAAGAAGTGTTAACGTTATCTGTTGTAAGAAACAATAAAATTTTAGTTATAAGTGTGGCTATGTAAACAGTGCAGAATAACAAAGATTGCCAGTGTCTAGTATGTACATCAATTACGGTGTTCCTGTGTTAAAAGATGTGTTAGTTTTTAAATTCATAACTTGCTTATTCATTTACATCTTCCCACCCCAACACAATTAGTGTATTAGAGATAACATGGACGTCTCCCATATTATTTTGTCTAGATTTTTCTTGAAGACATTTCTAGAACTACGACACTTATGATATACAACATTGTTTATTGACAAAAAGGGGAAATGGATAAACGTTTCGGAATT